AATAAGTGAATAACGAATCTAGCTTAAACCCTAGTCCTACATTAATTAACGGACGTAATTGTGGGTAACACCGGATCAAAATCTATTAGGAATATACGCAACCCCGGGTTAATCAGGCATCCGTGTGCACTATGATATGGGGAAGATACTAACGCTATACACAAATAATAAATGTATATAAAATCGCGATACAAGCTCCGTTCTAGCGCCGATAGCTAGCCGTTTATCAAACCATTTCACGTTACAATCGCCCGAAGTAGGAGAAAGTGAGGTCAGGTCACCTAGCTGTTCAGGCGAGTTCCCTGACTAATGACTTCAAGGTCAGGTCAAGACGGGAAATGCGCGATGAGAGTAGAAATAAATAAAATGATATTCGTGAAAAATCAAGAACGCGCTAAATTCGTTGCAGTTGAAACAATATAAATTTCTAATCACGAGAAAAAATAGGTAAATAATTAATGAACGACATTCATGTTGGTTGACTGCATACCCTGGTCACACAGTTATGCGATCTAAGGTCAGAAGAAAGTGAGAGCGTGCCCTCTGCTGTTTATAAGCACTTTAACCCAACAAACCAACCCAACAAAACCATCGTGAGGGTAACTGCACATACGGCTTAGCACATTTATGGGAGAAGATAGAAAAAAGAAAGTAAAAGGCCCAAAACGTGTACTCACGTGATTTTGAAGACATGTCGATTGTAGTAACGATGGTCGAGCGAATTTCGGAGACTATGTGTCCATGTTGCGAGCCAAAAGAACGCAACGACCACCCTGCCACCAGATGTAAAAGGCTATGGGGAACAGCAGTGATAGTCAACGTAAGTAAGGCTCACAACACAAGTGATGGTGAACACACGCGCGACGAGTCTTGGGTAAGTGCCGAGAGCGGGGAGGTCGCGGCGCCGACCAGCCCTGTGGGGGCGGAGGGCTGGTGAGAAGGAGCGAGGAGCGAAGGCACGTCCAATGAGGCCAGACAAGGTCAGATAACTCGTCAGCTACTCCTCGCTGAAACGATGGTTCTTCCCTGGACCTCGAGCCATGTGGCAAGCAGCCACGCGGTCTTTCATACAGAAATCATGGCATGTACACGGTATAATATATATATATATATATATATATATATATATATATATATATATATATATATATATATATATATATATATATGTGTGTGTGTGTGTGTGTGTGTGGTGTGTGTGTGTGTGTGTGTGTGTGTTTATTGTTATTATTATATATATTATCATTATTATTTTTGTAGTAGAAGTAGTAGTAGGAGAAATCATTACCTACCATAACTGCAAAAACAATAAACAAAAACAGCAATAGCAACAGAATGAGACAGACGATTACAAAACCAAATCTTATAATCTTTTATATCACAAAGACGAGGCTACGCGGTTGATTTTACATTACTCAAAGCGATCTGTAATGAAGATCTGTTTTCCAAGATGATAAAGCTTAATAAATCAGTTCGTGTTTGTTAGACTCTCTCTCTCTCTCTCTCTCTCTCTCTCTCTCTCTCTCTCTCTCTCTCTCTCTCTCTCTCTCTCTCTCTCTCTCTCTCTCTCTCTCTCCCTCCCTCTCTCTCTCTCTATCTTTATCTCTCTCACGGTAAATGTATCAAACCTATACTGCAGACAAACAAAATGTCATGGGTGGATATAAAAAGAAAAAGAAAAAGATGAGGGAGAGAGAGAGAGAGAGAGAGAGAGAGAGAGAGAGAGAGAGAGAGAGAGAGAGAGGAGGGGGGGGAAACGGGGATGTAAGACTTTAATATACAAAAATAAAGAGAATGGGAGAGGAGAGAGAGAGAGAGAGAGAGAGAGAGAGAGAGAGAGAGAGAGAGAGAGAGAGAGAGAGAGAGAGAGAGAGAGAGAGAGAGAGAGAGAGAGAGAATGGGAGAGGAGGGAGAGTTGGGAAAGAGAGAGAGAGAGAGAGAGAGAGAGAGAGAGAGAGAGAGAGAGAGAGAGAGAGAGAGAGAGAGAGAGAGAGAGAGAGAGAGAGAGAGAATGGGAGAGGAGGGAGAGTTGGGAAAGAGAGAGAGAGAGAGAGAGAGAGAGAGAGAGAGAGAGAGAGAGAGAGAGAGAGAGAGAGAGAGAGAGAGAGAGAGAGAGAGAGAGAGAGAGAAAGAGAGAGAGGAAAAAAAAACCTTGTTCCAATCAACAATGGAAATTAACTTAGGACCAAACCCAAAAGACAGCAAGTTTCGTTCCAATATTTAGTTTTCGTGGACGTTTGGGAAAAGAAATAATTGTTTTGAGCGACTTTTTTGTTTAAACGTAATATACTAAACTGACCTTTCCTTTTCCACACAGATAGAGAAACATAAAGTGAAAAAAGGTACGCACTTAATTCTGTAATTTCGGTTTCATAATTAATTCACTGTGGAACTCCCTTATTGCTAAATTAAATACTCACCTACGAGCGCTCCAATTGACAAAAAAAAAAAGTAGTGAAAAATATCTACATCAAAAAGAAGGATGAAGCATATAATAATG